ATTGACAGCTCAGATCTTCATACAAAGAGCAGTATCGCAATGAGAAAATGCAAACATAACACATTTTGGCTGAATTCTTGCAGACGTCTGTGACCAAAAATTTTCTATGATATTACTGAGTTTCAAACACGTTACATAGGCCCTTTTACTTAACATGTACCAAACTTGGTGTGAAAAAAGAGCGGTACTAATAAAATATTTTTTTTCACAAACAACACTCAAAAAACATTCTGAAAGTTTAAAAGCAACCACGTGACCAACAAATTTTTTCTCTCCGAAATATTCAAGCAGTTGACTGTTTTCAGTGCACTAAACTAGCACGATTTTTTTTCATACACATTTTCCATGGCCGCGAAATCGGCTGGGAAATTTCGAATAAAGTGACCCTGTTAGTTTCACTCAATGACCATTACATACTGCTAAATTACGGCCATTTGTTTCAAATCATGCTGGCAGGCTAAGAAAGCGTAGCTCCTTCTCGATGTTGCGTAGGCTGTGCGTGTTGCGTTCCCAGATAAATATGCTACCCAGTCTTATACTTGGCTGCAACACATGCTTAGACACAGTGCTGTATCTATAACATTAAAGTACTTTTTGCGCAAAAAAACTAATAATACGCTTCACATAGCGAAAATATCTTTAACATCTCAAGTACTTAGCGAAGTTAAACGTCAAAGTGAGGCGATGGCAATAAAACTCTAAATAACAAGAACATTTTTAAAGTTACACATCATGGAAACAATCTGAATAAAATGTGCTCGATCATTAGCAGTTACGTTCAAACAAGCGTTTGTACTGTTCATGTAGGCGATTCGACCACACACAGACGAAAGGTCTCTTTCGTCTGTGTGGGACGATGCCCAGTGAAGAAGGCACCCGAGAACTTCAACGCCTAGAGGAGCCCTGGCCAAAAAGGGTCAAAACGAATAGTCGAGGCGCAGCCCAATCTTCGTTATACAACTATTGTCTGCCATTAGCCGAGCTGTCCCCATCGCTCGATAGCTTATGAGAACACGCATAGGCACGTGTCATCATTCACAATTATCCCGATGGTGGTGACTTCCGTGCACTTAAAATGAGAAATGGGCCCCACACACTGATCACAATATACGTTATAGCCTACGCAAACTTTTAGGACACTGTTTTTACCACATCACCAGTTCTTACCACAGGGAGTAATTTATTTTGTAGTCAGTCTTTGAATCACAAAAATAAGTCTACGTGGAGAGCACTGAGTATATGCAAGACAGCCAGCCAGGTATTACTTCACTAATAATTTATATTGCCTTGTACTTATGTCGCAAAAGTCTGAGAGGCGTAATTATGCAGAAGTATGCAGACTACCAGTGAAAGTTGTGACACTGAAAGATGTTCCCAAAACACTTCAGAAGATCTCTTGTTCGTGGTCGGTATCCTTACAGTTAACAAAATTCGCACAGTGCCTCGTTTCTTCTCTTGGCGTGACTGGCGGAAATGGGCCGCGCCCAGTCGCGCCAAGGTCGCGCAAACTTTTCGGGCCAAGGCCGGGTGCGGGCCGTATTTAAAGCTGCGGGCTGCGCTCGGGCGGGCGGAGCATGAACAAGGTAGATACAACTGGTAGAGAAGGCTCCCTAGATGACCATACTAGGGTGGCCTACCAATGCGTCCAGAACATTGCTGCTGACGAGCTGCTCCTGGGACTTAGCGCCATCTCTTTGATGAGGGAACACTTCCGGTGGAACAAATAAACAAAGTGGATGGGAAGTGACAGCTGGTAAACCAGCTTGTCATTTGAATAGGCTTTAGGGCAAAATTTGATCTCAAATAAGTTTTTATAGGCCCCTCATCGCTAAAGACTCACGCTAAGGTGATTGTTGGCGTGTCCGAGTCCTCCACGAGTGTGCTTCGAGTCTACGCCAGCTAATCTGGTGCCGACTCATGACTAGATAGTGATGTTTAAGTGTACTACCGTTCACCTTCCGACAGTTTTACAAGGAAATGAAAAAAAATTTCAGACATTTATTCGGCGTTCATGGAACCTTCCGCAAATGGATTGAAATAACCAACAGCGTATTGCTGTCATATCTGAAGCGTTCCTTATTTGCATCCCACATATGCAGATTATTCAGCATGCACAATGCTTGTGCTGTTCATATTTTACAGGAACAAATGATGAATAGTAACGCTAAAATATCTCCGCCAGCGTGGTCTAGTGGCTAAGGTACTCGACTGCTGATACGCAGTTCGCATATTGAATCCAGACTGCGGCGGCTGCATTTCTGATCGGAAGCAAATGTTGAAGGCCCGCGAGCTGAAATTGCGATCCATGTCAAAGAACCCCAGGTGGTCGATATTTTCGGAGCCTTCCACTATGGCGTCCTCCATATTCATAAGGGGATTTTAGGACTTTAACCTAACCTATGAATCTATCTATCAATGCTGAATTATGGCATTTAAGTTTTATGCATTGGTCACAATAACTAAAACTTATTAGTTTTATCGCAATTGTTACAACCACAAAAAACGTCCGCAGAGATTACTTGTGTTATGTTTTTATTTACATTGAGCTCCGATAAATTACCGCTGCGTATGCGAATGCAGACACGTGTATTGTAGCGTGAATATTAACCCAGTTGTGCTCACCGATAACGTGAAAGATAGTAGGGACTGCATGCTCAAGAAGGAAATGACGCTGCAGAAAAACTGATAGATTAAAGTCCAGCGAGCACTGTATTTGGAACCGTTGCCCTTGTTTCTTATCTAGAAGACATTGGTCACCAGGCATACGTTTTTTTCTGCAGAGCACATCGTTTTCGCACGTACTGGCAAAAGCACTCAGCGTACAATGTAATCCACATCGTTCCGCTGGCCTTTAGACACTACACTGAAGACGTTTCTGTATGATAAAACGTACCTCACAATTTCGCGCACAGCTGAGAACGCAAGCTATTGCGGAACACTGAAATACGTGAGGTATGTGTCATCGCGGACAAATTTTACGCCAGTGTCATTCTATGCCGTGCAAGGGCTGCACTAAATAATATGAGCGTAGGGGGGCGGGGAGGGCGTTAGGAAAAAAAGAGATTTCATTGCGATAGCAATCGTATGAACACTCTCGAGTCGATTTTGAGCCGGAGTCAGCGTTGACGTCCACGTCGCAGTCACTCACGGTTTACGTATAGGCATCTATATTGTTACCAATAAATATAGCACCTAGTAATCTATAAAATATATTTATTTAGGGTGAACCTGTGCCCGTAAACTCAAATATAATAATGGTCGGCCAAAAATGTCCCTTGCTCGCCAACTCCAACTTCGTCGGTCTCTTCTTCTGCTCCTTGATTCTCGTGGCGGTCGCATGGCGTAGCATCTTGGGGCGTGTAGGATGGCGTTCCATGGCGCGGCTTTCTTGCTACGATGGGCAGAATATATACAATCTCAGGGCGCCACCTGCTAGTGGCAGCCGAACTAAATGACTGAAGGGTGGCGACCTCTACATCTCCCCCTTGAAGACCAGACGGAAGACGGAGGACGCCAGACACTGCACATCACAAGTTCAGGCGGTTCGGAGGCACAACACGACAGCCACTACGTGTTCGTGTCACACCATCACTGCGGTCACTGTCTGCAGGGGGCAGTCCAAGGGAATCGGGTGGTTGCACTGTAGTAGTTCGCTGGGGTTCCAGAGGAGGCAGTGTTCGCTGTGGCTCCTGCTCCTCAGACGGCGGTGGTTCCACCCTTGGCGCAGGAGGTGCAAAAGGCACTAGGTGACGCCGGTTGCGCTGTAGGACGCCACCCTGCTCCGTTTCCACGACATAACTTCGTGGTTGGCGTGCGGGGCTAAGCACTGTATCTTTGACCTGATCAGGTCGTACCCAGACACACTGGCCTGTTCGGAGCGATGACCGATCTCGAGCTCTGTGATGCCTGTTAAAGTCAGCGGCCTGTTTCTGCTTGTAGGCTGCATCTTTTCTCCTCACGTCTTTCCTCGACGGCCAGTGAGGACATAACTGGGAGTCCTGTTTCGGCACTTTGGTTCGGAGTTGTCGTCCCATCAAAAGCTGGGCCGGGCTGAAGCCATCGACTCCGGGAGTGTCCCGGTAGCTGAGCAAGGCCAGGTGAGGGTCTGTTGCTTTGCGAAACAACTCCTTGATGGTCCTGACCATTCTCTCCGCCTCTCCGTTCGATTGCGCATAGTGCGGGCTGCTGGTGACGTGGTCAAAGCCGTAAGATGCCGCAAATGCTGCAAACTCGCGTGAAGAGAACGGTGGACCGTTGTCTGATCTGACTTCTCGCGGAATTCCATGCCGGGCAAAGATGCTTTTGAGAACGTCGATAACTGCCTGAGCCGTTGTGCTCCGCAAGGTTACAACTTCAGGGTACCTGGAGTAGTAGTCCAGCACCAAGATGAATGTCTGGCTGCGGAGGGGGAACATGTCCACGCCGACAAGTTCCCAGGGACGTCCAGGTAGGACTGTGGAGACCAGGGGCTCTGCATGGTTCACCCCAGTGGAAGCACATTGCTCGCAGTTAGTTACCAGAGAGGCAATGTCTGCCGAAATGCCAGGCCACCAAATGGACTCTCGAGCGAGAGCTTTCGTCCTGTTGATGCCTTGGTGTCCTTCGTGCAACAGCGTCAAAACAGCCTGCCGAAGAGAATGCGGGATGACCATCCTGGCGCCTTTCAGTAGAACACCGTCGCAGACAGAGAGCTCATCTGCTGCTGAGGCATACTGGGAGAGGTGCAGTGGCAGTTTGGACTTCTGTGGCCAACCATTCTGGCAGAAGGAGGTGAGGGCTCTGCATTCGCCATCGGACTCTTGTGCTTGTCGCACATCCTCTGGGCTTAGTGGCAAGGCTTCTGACATGCCGCTGACCACTTGAGCTGCAAACAATTCCACGGTGTCCAGGGGGAGGGACGCCTTCTGGGTGATGCGTGACAAGGTATCTGCCGTAGCTAACAGCTTTCCTGGCACGTGGAGCATTCGGAACTGGTATCGCATGGTCTTTAACCTGAGCCTCTATATGCGAGGCGGCAGCATGTCCAGCTCCATCTTGCCGAAGAGAGAAACGAGTGGTAGGTGATCTGTGTCCACATCGAAGGTGATGCCGCGGACGAATTCGTCAAACCGTCGGATAGCCCATGTTGTTGCCAACGCTTCCTTTTCTGTCTGGCTGTAACGCTGCTCTGTCTCGGTCATTGATCTCGAAGCAAAAGCAACTGGGCGGCGCTCTCCAGAGGGCTGTGTCTGCAGCAAGACTGCGCCCAGTCCGAATGAGCTTGCGTCAGGCGAAACTGTGGTGGAGTATGATGGATGGTACTTGGCCATGCAATGGCCTGATGTCAGGAGTTCCTTGATTTTCTCGAATGCAGCATTTTGTTCATGCTGCCACACCCAAGTCGCAGACTTGTTTAGAAGTGCTTTGATGGGAGCTGTGACCTCTGAGATGCAAGGCAAAAACCGGGCAAGATGGTTCACCATTCCGAGCAGTCGCCGGACACCTGCGATGTCGGTTGGAGCCTCCATGGCTTTGATTGCTTCGACCTTGTCTGGACTTGGCCTGATGCCTTGTGCTGAAACGATGACTCCTAGGAAGGAGACTTCGGAGACGCCAAAACGACACTTGTCTTGGTTCAACGTGAGGCCTGCTTTTGCAAGGCGAGACAGCACCGGGTTCAGTCTGGCATCGTGCTCCTCGCGGGTGCGCCCAAAGACCAGAATGTCGTCTATCATATTGGCGACTCCTTCCTGGCCCTCCAGGATCCTGGCCATCAGTTTTTGGAAGTACTGCGGCGCGGAGGCGATGCCAAAGGGGAGCCGGCAGAAGCAGTATCGGCCAAATGGGGTGATGAACGTTGTGAGATCTTGGGAGTCTGAGGATAGTTTAACCTGATGAAAACTGGCTGTTGCATCCAGCTTGGAGAAAACTGTTGCGTCGCCAAGGAGGCCAAGGACTTGCTCTACCGTTGGTAGGATGTGGCGTTCCCGAAGGACAACCTTGTTCAGCTGAGTCAAGTCGACGCACAGCCGGTAGGAACCATCGGCTTTCCGTACTACAACGAGACCAGAGCACCACTGGGTTGGGTTGTCGACCCTGCGAATCACGCCTCCTTCCTACAGTTTGTCAAGCTCGTGACGGACGACCTCGCGTAGCGGGATGGGAATCCTGCGAGGCACACTTAGGGAGAAGGGTATAGCGTTGGGTCTCAGAAGGATAGGGTACTCGTCCTTGAGGGTGCCCAATCCCTGGAAGAGCTCAGCACGCAATGTTGCTTTCGGAGTCTGAAGTTCATTGAGAAACTTTACAACTTCCACAGCTTGAAGCGCCGGCAGTCCAAGAAGAGGTACGGTGAGAGAATGGATCACGTACAAGCGCTGAGAGCTCATTTTCCCGTGCCACCGAAGTCTCGCCAAGTACGAACCCAGCACGCGCAGCGGCTGACCGCCAGGTCCGGTGAGCAGGTTGTTGACGGGGTCGAGCTTGGCCAGCAATGCAGGGAAGTCGCTCGGAACGGCGGACACCTCGGCTCCGGAATTGACCTTGAACTGCGCTGTGTAGTTGTCAACGGTGATGTCGACGAACTTTGCCGCGGCGGGCGTCCCGACAGCGTGTAGCTGAATGGAGCCGAGCTTCTGTTTTGCCTGCCGCGCGCGGCACACTTCCGCAAAGTGTCCTTTCTTTTCGCAGAAGTTGCAGACGGAGTTTCGAGCAGGGCAGTTTGAACGTGGATGTGGCGCGCGGCCGCAGAATTCACATGTTGACGGCTGGCAGGAGCGCTCTGCTTTCCGCGGGGGCGAAGGCCACTTATCGTAGTTGCGGCGGCGAGAGGCGAACTTCTTATCGCGTACGGCGTCGAGGTGTAGCTTGCGGGAGTGCTCTGCGCAGTTTTGAGGCAACGTTTTTTCTTTTTCGGCGTCTTCTGATTGACGGGCCTGCATCCATGCTTCTTTGAGCGTCAATTTCGCGTTCCGGCAAAGCTGGTCCGAAAGGCGCGAGTCGCGGAGGCCGACGACGAATCTATCGCGTACAAGCCTTTGCTCCACCTCAGCTGACGGATAGTTGCACCGCTTCACCATTCTACACAGTTCGGCGTAGTAGGCGTCGACGCTCTCGTCGGGTAACTGAACACGCTGGTGAAAACGCGACGACTCGTACAGTTCATTCGCAGGATGCACGAAGTGGTCGGTGAAGCTAGCGGCAACCGCTTGAAATGAGGCGAGTGATGCGGTGTCGAGCGAGAACGTCTCCAGAAGTGGGCGGGCCTCCGGCCCCATGCAGTACAACAACGAGCGTACCTGCATGTCGCCGGATGCTTGAGTCAGGCCGGAAACGACGGCGTAGTCCTCGTAGCGGCGGAGCCATGCTGGCCAGGTTCCCGGGTTCACAAAGTCAAACGGTGCGGGCGGCTGGAGGTTGAGGCTGAGCTTATTCGGCGCCATCGTCGTGCGGTACGGGCGAGTTCGGGATGAGGGGGCGTTACGCAGCCACTTATGACACCATGTCTTGTGGCTGGTGCCGTGCCAGCGTGGCAGAGCACGAGCGGAGAGAGACGATACGCACGACAGCTGCTCAGCTAACGAAAAGGGCCTCCCACTTTATTCGGGGCAGAATATATACAATCTCAGGGGCGCCACCTGCTAGTGGCAGCCGAACTAAATGACTGAAGGGTGGCGACCTCTACACAGGGGATTACTGAACGTCCCTTCGTCTTAGATTGTAGCGGTGCACGTCGAAGTTCTGCTGTTAAATGATGCGGTTCCGTGCTAGTTGTCGTGCCTCTTCTGCCTTTTCTACATATTCGCTGATGTCAGGGTCCTCTTCATTCGTGCTGTTGGCAGGCAGCGTTGCGTCTAATGTCGTTATTACTGTCCGGCCATAAACAAGTTGAAATGGCGTGAAGTGGGTTGTCTCTTGTACTGCGGTATTGTATGAAAATGTAGCATACGGTAATGCGGTGTCCACGTCCGATGCTCAACGTCCACATACATCGCGATCATGTCAGCAAGCGTCCTGTTCAGCCTTTCAGTTAACTCGTTAGTTTGCGGATGGTACGCTGTACTTCTGTGGTTGGTGTGCGTTAGTTTCATGACAGTCTGTACTAGCCTGGCAGTGAACGCAGTTCTTTTGTCAGTTATAAGGACTTTAGGTGTGCCATGTCGCAGCACTATCTGGGTTACAAAAAAACGGAGCAATTCATTTGCCGTTCCTTCTGTGAGAGATGACGTCTCGGCATACCGGGTCATATAGTCGGTTTATACAACTATCCAGCGCTGCCCGAACGATGCCATAGGGAATGGTCCTGGAAAATTCATTCCGACCTGCTTAACTGGGACTTTCGGTGGCTCTACCAGTTTCAAAAGACCTGCTGGCGTTAGTGGCGGTACTTTCCGTCTTCAGCATTCTCGGCATGATCTGACGTAGTGCTGTACTCAATACATCAATTTTACCAGTAATATCTCTGACGGATTCTTACCAAAGTCTTACTAATTCCCAATTGACCTGCCGATGGGTCATCATGACACGCTTCTAAAATATCCACTCGCAGTGATGATGGTATCAGCAGTAGGAACGTTTCACCAGTGTGTTCAAAGTTTCTCTTGTAGAGAACGTTGTTGCGGAGTACGTAGGAACGTAGTCCACGGACGAAAACTCGCGGTACTTCGACTTGCTGCCTCTCTAAGTATTGAATGAGCCGGAGTAATTCTGGGTCCTTTCGCTGATCATGAGCCATCTCCGACAGAATCACAGCTCCAAGAAATGCGTAATGTTGTTCTTGCTCAGGATACGAGGTCTGGACTGGTGCTCGTGACAAGCAATCTGCGTCATTGTGCCTGTGGTCAGACTTGTAGACTACGGTGATGTCATACTCTTGTAGACGCAAGCTCCATCTAGCAAGTCTTCCTGAAGGATCCTCGAGGTTCGCAAGCGAAAACAATGAATGATGGTCACTGATGGCTCGGAATGGTCTACCGCATAAATATGGACGCAAATTACTGATGGCCCATATAACTGCGAGACATTTCTTTTCCGTAGCTGAAAATTATACTCAGCTTTCGACAGAGTGCGGCTTGCGTAAGCAACAACTTTTTCTTCCCCGTTCTGCCACTGTACAAGAATAGCACCGAGGCCAACGTTGCTGGCGTCCGTATGAATGTCTGTTTTGGCATCTTCGTCAAAATGAGCGAGTATGGCAGGTGACTGCAAACGCCGTCGTAACTCAGAGAAGGCGTCTTATTGCTGTTGGTGCCAGATGAATGGCACACCTTCCTTCGTAAGCTGTGTCCGTGGTTCCGCAATCTTGGAGAAGTTTTCAACGAAGCGCCTATAGTAGGCACAAAGCCCCAGGAAATGTCGCATAGCTTTTTTTGTCTCTTGGCCTTGGAAAATTTTCAACCGCAGTGATCTTATCCGGATCTGGACGGACACCGTGAGAACTGACAATGTGCCCGAGGAACCGAAGCTTCCGGAATCCAAAGTGGCACTTTTCGGGTTTGATCGTAAGTGCAGCCATACGAATATCATCCAGTACCGTTCTCATCTCTGTACGGGCTTCTCAAACGTTGTGGAACAAATTACTACGTCATCAAAATAAACAAGGCATGACTGCCATTCGAGGCCGGAGCACACAGTGTGCATCATCCTCTGGAAGGTAGCGGGAGCAGAACACAAACTCATTGGGAGTACTTTGAACTCGTAGAGTCCGTCGGGAGTCACAAACGCCGTCTTCTCACTATCTCGTTCATCGAATTTTATTTGCCAGTACCCGCTCTTCAGGTCATACGATGAAAAAAAGTGAGCACTGCGCAGTTTACCCAACGTATCGTCGACTCGTGGGAGTGCATACATGTCGCGCTTTGTGACAAGGTTGAGTTTTCTGTAGTCAACACAGAATCACATGGTGTTGTCCTCTTTCTTCACAAGTTCTACTGGCGATGTCCATGGGCTTTTAGAGGGCTGTATGATATCAACGTCGAGCATCTCCTGTACTTGCTTCTTTATCGCTTTCCTTTCTTTCGGACCTACTCGGTATGGATGCTGACATACTGGTCTGACATGTCCTTCAATTACAATGCGGTGCTTTGCCACAGGTGTACGTCCGATTTGTGATGAAGAGGAAAAACACTCTGCGAATTCTTTTATTAACTTCACAATCTGGTCTTTCTGCCGAAATGAAAGCTCTTGGTCAATATCTATTTTCTCGAGGACACTGCTCACTGTCGAGGAAGATGTTAGTGCTTTTTCTATGGTGCAAACATCTGAGACTTGTACGTAGTCATGAAGTGATGCTATGGCTGCTCCCTTCGCCACATGCTGTACCTCGTTGGTAAAGTTAGTCAATAGCACATCAGTATATCCGTTCCGCAGGTTCACTAGACCTCTCGCCGCGCGTTTCCCCTTTGTGAGTAGCAGTTCGATATTTCCATCAGCTAGGCCGGCATATTCACGAAAAACGTCGCTTTTCACAGAAACTGTCACGCTGCTACGTGGCGGCAATGTTACACCTTCATCCACAATAAGAAAAGACGAAACAGTTGGTTGATACGCATGACACACGGCAACAGCGTTCTCTGTAGAGAAAGAAACTTGGGGTTTCTGCTAGTCGATGATGGCACTGTTTGCTTGCAGGAAGTCTATGCCCAGAATTGCTTCACGGAAACATTAGGGGGAGAACAATAAAACTGCAGACGTACACATGGCCTCTTATTGCCACTCTCGCTGTGCGCAATCCTACAGGGCTGACTAAGTGCCCTTTTCCGGTGCGTATCTGCGGTCCGGTAGGATGAGTGAGCACTTTTTTCAGCTTGTTTGCGAGCATGCTATTTTTTTGCTGAGTAGTCTGCACCAGTGTATATAACGTTGTGGTCTCGACGTCGTCAATTCTGACTAGTTGTTCGGATGTCATGTCACCACTACTCCGCTTGTTTGTCTTATCTGTTATTGTGTCAGTATCGTCATCTGAACTGATTGACAATGAAGGGTTTTCAGTTTTCCAAAAATCAGCGTCTCCGCGTTCACAGGTCGCTGGTTCTAGTTTTCCCATTGCGAGCTTGGTAAACGACGCTGCGGGAAAGTATATAATTGGCGTGGACTCGGCAACCTATTGTGCATTGGTGTAATTGACCGCGATTCATGTCACTGAGTGTTTGGAGAGGCATAGCGCGAAGATAGAAATATTTCGATTTCGTAAGGGCGCTCACCGTTATGAGGGCAGGGTGCATTCACTGGGAAGCCACGTAGCCTGACTCGACGATATTGGCATGTCTGATCAAGATGACCTGCCTCCCCACAATGGTAGCAGAGGGGCCGCCAGTCTGCAGTGCGCCATACATCACTTTTGCGGTGTCACGCTTCTGGCATCGGCGGTGGCGTATTGCAAGAAAACGTCGGTGGCATAACGGGAGCTTGTGCAAAGTTCGGGCGTCTGATGTCTTGCATTACGACTTGCGCGTAAGACAGCTGTGGCTGAGGTTCCGGTTGCGTGTGGCGGGGCACCTGGGGCTGTGGTTGAAGAATTGCTTGCCGCACTTCTTCACGTACAACGTCCATGATTGAGGGCATAGCTGGGGACTCTGGGTGGGTTGCAGTTTCTGGAGCTCCTCCTTAACAATAGCCCTCACCATTTCCTGGAGGACGTCAACGTTGGTGGGGAGGGTTGTTGACTCCGCCCTGACTGAAGAGACGCTGAAGTCTCTGTTGTACAGTCGCGCACGTTGTTGTAGTGTCCTTTCCATGGTCGTTGTCTCGGACTGGAACTCCGCCACAGTTCGCGGTGGATTACGCACCAGGCCTGCAAAATTTTCTTCTTTTACTCCGCGCATTAGGTGCCGCAACTTCTTCTCCTCGGCCATGTTTTCGTCGGCTCGGCGGAAGAGCCGCGACTTGTCTTCTATGTACATGGCCACGCTCTCGCTATTCCGTTGATTCCGTGCCTGAAGAGCAGCCTCTGCCTTCTTTTTGTGGTCCGTGTTCGGATAGGTTGCGATTAGCTCTCGTCGAAAGTCGTCCCACGACAGCAAGGACGCTTCGTGGTTCTCAAACCACGTACGTGCCGAATCTTGCAGGGCGACGTAAACGTAACGAAGTTTTCGGGCTTCGTCCCAACCATTCAAACGTGCAACACGCTTGAAGCCTTCAAGCCAGTCCTCGGCGTGGTCTCACGCCGAGGACTGGCTCACCGTGAAAGGTCTCACCGTGGAAGACCTCTTGTGTACGTGGCGAATCGACAATGAGGTGAGATAGAGATGGCATCGACTGGGTGGCCATAGCATTGCGGCTTGTGCTTGAGGTCTCGACATGTCTTTATGAGTCAATTAGGTGGTCAAACTCGGGCTGCTCACCACGTAGTCGGTGACTCGTGTGTTGGTGCACAGGTGTCAACTCTGCTGGCTCCAATCTTCTGGAATCTGGGCTTCTCTCCCTTGCCTGTGGTGGGCTTGGA